TACTAACAACAAGAAAAGAATTAACATTATTATAGAATTTTGGAAAGTGGGCGTGTTTCGCCCACATCTAACTATATAAGTTTTGCTGACTTCAAAAACGTCAATTGCTTTGCATACGTACACAGTATAAGGTTCCATAACGTCGATCTACAAATTATTAAAAATGTATACTGTTCCAAAACACATACGAAAAGTTATCGAAACGCATCGCTACAGCAATCAGTTATTGGTTAGCATTGGTGTTTTAGAAATGGAAAATTCAGAAGAATTGTTCATAGCTATATTGAATATTTAAAATATGCAATGTATATTTTTGCAGTGTGTCGCAACTCTGCATATACAAATAGTTTGAATACCGCAGTACAACAGTTTCCAAACATTGTATTGATACGTTTTGGAAGTCAGCCTTTATCTCATTAGGTATAACTGAACATACTATCGAAATTGTTAGAAATAGGGGTAAAACCACTCCTTATCATGTAACGGTAGTTTTCAGAAAGGTGAAAAACTATATTTAATATTTGCGCCGGGTATTTAACGTTCGGCTCCACCCGAACTTAGACTTTTACTTGTTTAAACGTTTTTCTTTTTGATTTTTTTTTGATTATAGCATTTAAAAATATTTTTTTTTTTTTTACATAAAAACATTGTCTATAATGTCAACTTTAAGTACCCAAACGGGCGTAATGGGCTACTAGGCGTATGGACTCTAGATCTTCTAACGGTAAAGCAATATGATAAATAGACATTGAAATTTTATGAAATTGTATACTTTTGAAAGAGGAAACGAGTGTAAAAAATAAAAACATGAATAAATCATATTAACTTAACTAAAGGCTGAAATCACGAAGATCCCTTCAAGGAAATGGCAGAATTGAACTTTGTTGCAAGTTCACATGGGAAATCTGCTTGCGACGGGATTGGAGGAAATTTTAAGAGACTAGCAAGTCTTCAGCTCCCGACGTCACAACAAATTCTTATACCCGAGGTCCTCTACCAATGGGGTAGGAATAATTTAGAGAAAACCAAGGTGCTGTATGCGTCCAAGAGTGACTACAATGAAGTTAAGCAAAAGCTTCAAGATAGGTTCACAAATATGCAATATATTCCAGGAACGCACGTATTTCATGCCTTTATACCCGAAACATCAACAGCACTCATTGCAAAAGAATAATCGACCTCCAATGATAGGATTAACCTTGATCCTTTTATTAAAACAAGAAGTACTAAATATGTTTTTTCACCTTTCCGAAAGCTACCGCTAGATGGTAAGCCGGGGTGTATCAATTTTGAGTAAATTAGCGTCCTTAAATTTCGAAATATTGCAGTTTCAAGCATTTCTGAAATTTACCGTTATATGAAAAGCGGCCGTAATTTTAGTCCGATTTCAATAATTTTCAACGTTTTGCTTTTATGTGGCAAGCACAATAACCATACCGAGTTTGGTACAAATTGGTAGAACGGCTACCGAGATACATATATGTGATCATAAGTGGGCGGTGCCACGCCCATTTTCCAAAATTTTACCATAAGCGTATTTCTTGGTAAAGAATTGTTGCAAACATCAATTTTGAACAAATTTGCTTTAATATTTACTGATTTATCGAAGATTTTGTATTTCTCTAAATTACCGTTATATGGGATGTGGGCGCGGTTATTGTCCGATTTTTTAAATTTAGTATGCCGTACCAAGGCCGACAACTGTGCCAAGTTTGGAAGAAATTGGTGCGGCGGTTACCAAGATATACACATGTAACCATAAGTGGGCGTGGCTACGCCCGTTTTCCAAAAATTTATAATATTCTTATTTTTCGTCTAAAAATTGTTGTAAATATCAATTTTGAGTGAATAATCTTCAGTAGTTACTAAAATATCGCAGTTTTCATATTTCCGAAAATTACCGTTATATGGGAAGTGGGCGTGGTTACAGTCCGATTTCGCCCATTGTCAATACCAACCTACCTTGGATTAACGGAAACCTACATACCAAATTTCGTTGACATATCTCAATTTTTGCTAGAGTTATCGTGTACACGGGCGGACGGACAGACGGACGGACAGACAGACATGGCTTAATCGACTTCTCTATTCATTCTGAGCATTTATGTATACATTTGTCTATATCTATCTAGATTCGTTTTGGCTGTTACAAACAACCGTTATGTGAACAAAATTAATATACCCTTGTGCACAAGTGCGCTCGGGTATAAAAATTGTGGAAGGTGCCGACCGGGAACAGCTTCCTGTAAAAAAAGCACCTGGAACAGATTGAATATGTTGTCGCCTGTTCGCAGCTCATCATCATTGCGGTTTGCACTGTTCACACCGTTCTGTTGTTTTCGCCATTATTGTTTGTGCCTATGTCGTTGTTTGCGTCGCTATAATTGCTCGCGCTACTACTGTGAGCCACCACCAACTCTTTCGTCGTCTCAAACGGGACCTCTGCCTTCCAATTGTCCATTGCAACTGTTGCTCTAGCCTTTTCCCGTTCGTGTTCCAACGTTAATTTTAAGAGTTGAATAAGTCGAAAATTTTGTCGCCCCAGCCGTATTCCTCGAGGCGCAAACTATTTCATGATTCTACTTTGAATGCACAGAACATCGTAATTTTCTTGGGGCAGCTCGTGCATCTGCTCACCATCGTTGTCAGTGTCGTTGTTTGCACCTTTGCTCTCACCATCGCCACTGTTGTACGTGGTACCAGTGTTGCCAGGTCTCCGGCGTGAGAAAACGTCCCTCTTGGTCTGAAAAAACGTCATTTCCTACCCAAAAACGTCTTTTTCAATTGAATGTACAAAAAATTGTTCTTATTAAACTTTTATTGTATACAAAGGTACATCCCTAACCGCCAAAATAACGTAAGCGTCATTTTTTTCAAAAATTTCTTTTTGATGCAGAAATATTCCTTGAGCATTTAGATGCATTTCTGCATCAAAAAGAAAATTTTGTCGCTTACGTTATTTTGGCGGTTAGGGCTCGATATGTACGTAATGTATATTAAAATGTCCTTTCGACAGAGCACATTTAAAATTCATTGTAAACTGGTCGTTAATATAAAAATCATTTTATACATACACTTGTGATCACCTGACGTAAGTCATCGATAGTTTGATCGATTTTGGCTGTTTCTCTTTAGTTTATTTATGTTTATTATTTTTCCATAAAAGCCAAGCTCATTAACAAACAAAATATAAATCCACAAAAATTGTGCAAAAATTATAAACAATCTGCAAGTTTTCAGCTAGATTTTCAACTATTTATTCAGAGTTTTTAGAATTTTTGTTGAGTATGCAGTTTGATAGCCCATTAAATTTCAGGGCAATAATGTGCAAGTTTAAAGGGGCTAAATAATCGCGTTGATTTTTAATAATTTGTTTTTTTTTGTAGACATTTGGTTAGGAGCTCGGTTGTCGAAAATGCTAAATTACGGTCTGCTAAGAAGGAGCATAGCAATAGTTCCATTCAATATCAAAAAATTGTTACAAATTGTTGCTAGTACTTGCACGTTTTTACTGGGAATGCATTCAATAACCCAAAATATTTGCAAGAGGGAGCGAATTCGAGAGCGTAACAACCCGAGAGAGCTGCAAATTCTTGCAACCATTATTAAGAAAATAATTCAAAATCAGTTCTACTTATAAGATTTAGTAACAAAGAAAAATTACTGGGAAGTTAAAAAACGTCAATTTTTTACACAAAAAACGTCCAACGTTGTCAACAGGGTACAAAAAACGTCCAAATGACGTTAAAAACGTCAACCTGGCAACGCTGCGTGGTACAATCACCTTTAACGTTTCGAGCGTAACTTCGTTGCTCGCCTTTCAACACTTACTGCCATTGTACCCTCTTTTTCGAACAGGGTCTTTTGTAATCTTAGGAGTTCGATCTCTTTGCGCAATAACTCGACTTTTACTTACTCAGCTTCAACACTACCGCTGTTGCGGCCAGACGCCGCGTCGTTATTCGCACCGCTACTCGCTCAATCGACGCTTCCGTTACCTCGGGGAAAACGGACTCCAAAAGTACAGCTACGTGCACATGGTAAAATATTTTGCATGTTTGCCGCACCATCGCTGTCTACCGCATTTTTCGCACCTTCGTTACAGTCTGCACCATTTTCTTTGTACGTTGATATTCCCATTGTCTCCCCAGATGCGACAACATACGCTGCCTTTTTCTACAGCCTTAGCCTGGCGGCCAACGATGCTTTTGAGCCGCTTGCTTGCCCACGGCGGCACACCATACTTTTAGCTGCATCAGTGAATACTCTTCTGAATTTTCTACATCGCGTTCCATTACGTGAGAAAAAATAGTGGTATTCGCCAAAGTGAGCAAGTGGCAAAAGACAATTCAATTTGGTGAATACCACTAATGTTTAATTAATTCAACGTTTTCAGTACTTTGCGATCACTTTAATATATGATGGGTCAAAAGACCACTTCTGATCAAATATTCTAAGGGGTTATTAAAACACGTCCGGCGTTCTCGCTATCAAATATCGAATGAATCTTTATTCCGGTAACTGTTTACTCTGCCACTTATGGTATAGACACAAATCGCCCTATGCCTAGTTTGCAATAACTTAACTTAATGCTTAGTGCAGGTATACTATACACTCTTACACTTTCAACTTCTGCAATAGTTATGTTAGTTTATGTTAGTAATTTATTTTTATTAGTAACTTTCTTATGTATCACGTATGCATGTACCCATGTATTTACGTGTGTACGTATAATTGCAAATATATAGAGCTAGAGACATACACATCGCCATCATTATCGCAAAACGCCGTATTGGATATTTTAGGCAAGTTTTGCTCTAACTTAGCGATCGTTATAAGTGAACTTAAAAATATTTTTGCTTATATAATATATATTATATTTGTCAAATAGGGCTTATATTATTGATGATGGCGATAAGTGCTTAGCGGTAATGTAATGTTAAAAAACTATGATAAACTTGCATAAATAACTTACATACACATGTCTCTTTTATCTGCAGACGTCTCATGGAAGCTGGCATTAAAGAGGAGGACATCATTCAGCTCGCTGAAATGGGTTTCGAAGCCTGGCAAAAGAGGTATGAAAGTCGGACAAATTTGCCGCATAACAACGATTCTCTCTGGTTCCTTCGCGATTGTTCACGTCAAGAGGCTGAGGAATTACTGAAGGGTGCCCCTACAGGCACATTCCTTATACGTGCTCGTTCTGCTGGTCATTATGCATTGTCTATTGTTTGCAAGAACGTCGTAAACCATTGCATTATCTACGAAACGGAAAGTGGATTTGGCTTTGCTGCTCCTTATAATATTTATGTTTCTCTGAAGGAACTAGTGGAACATTATGCCAGCAATTCATTGGAAGAACACAACGACACGCTAACCACGACGCTGCGAATTCCCGTAAAGTATTGGCATGCCAATAAGGAATCGCTAACGAAGCAATTGGAAGAAGAACTGGAATTGGAACAATTGCAAATTGAAGAAGAGGAGCTGCAGCATCAAGCCGGACAAGAACAAGTACAATTACAGTTGCAATTACAGCTGCAGCAACAGCCATCGTCTGCGATTCCAATACCAGGCAGTGAGGCACTAGATGTGCAAACACCACCCTCTTCGTTGAATTCCGTCTCTGGTGGTAGTGTCGCCGGTGGCAGTTTCAGTGCCAACCAAAATCATTCGCAACCATAATAAAAACAACAGTAAATCGCATCAGTGTGGAAGCTTGCAGGTCATGCTTAAAGCATTTGTGATTGTCGAGCTTCCATTCGCAATCCCAGGCCTACTTAGGATTTAAACATAACATTCGAATGCGAAAAAATAAGTTGTATTCTATATGTCCAACTTTTGTGATGTGATGATGTTGCAATTTTATTAAGCATAGCATGGGTAATTTGTTGAAAGCATGGCTATTTTGCCTAATCCTTTTCAAATTTTAGGTGTTATCTGTATAGCTAGCTTTAATGTTAGTTCAGGTGAAACGACACTGCTTCATAATTAGTCTCTTAGTCTATAAAGGCAGTTATGTTTTGATGTGAGCGCTGTTGTCACAGTTATCATGGTGTCGTGTGTCTTAGGCCTAGGCCACGCAATAAGCGGCAAAACGGCGAGCGGCTGAGCGTCTTAAAATTAAAGCATATGAAATACTTTTGAAGTGGCCACGCACTGAGCGGCTGAGCGGCATTTATGTATGGCGCCTTTCAGCTGCTCAGCCGCTCGCCGCTTTGCCGCTCATTGCGTTGCCTCGGCCTTACGGTGATCATCAAAATGGTTATATAAATTATTGCTATACAGATAATTGTGAAGAAAAAGTAATATTGAAGGGAAAAGGATAATGTTGTTTTGTATTTTTTACTATTAATGTACTTTACTTTTACTTATACGATGAAGATCTGAAAGTAAAGTCGCCATGTTCTATGCAAAAAATGGGGTGAATATGTAGTTTTGCAAAATACATTTCTATCGTGATATGTTAACCTGTTAAATTTATACAACAACCTGAAGTCAACATATGGTATAAATATGTATAACAAAATATCTTGATGCAATTCAGTTTAATGATAAACATTAAATGTTACTCTCGCGACGGCGTATCTCTATGCTTTACTATACATACCTTGCCGCTTTTTATTTTCCTCTGTATTAGATGCTATAACTGTTAAAAAATCAACCCTAGGTATGCCATAATAAATCACGAACGGCTGTTAATGCCAGTAAGCCAACAAAAAAAAAATGATAATAATTGGATAATTCGAAGTGTATTGGTCTTAGGAGAAGGTACGAAATTAATTTTTTATTGCAAATAGAATAAGTTTATGTTATAAAAGCTTGCTGTGAGCGAAAATATTTTACTTTGTAAATAAAGATAACTCCTGGGATGCATTCGACAACCGAATAAAAATGTGTAGAGTTATTTAATAATTGTTATGTTAAGAGAATCGTCAATCTTTTGTCAAGTTTTTGTTACGAGTACCGTCTAAAATTTACCTATAATCTACTCTTTTTTTAACATTTTGTATATTTTTGCATTAAACTACTAATATAATTAAATTTACATAAAAAAATTAATATTTTTTTTATGTGTCGTGCCACTGTTGAATTGTGCATACGCATATTTTTCGCCCCATTTTCTTTTGACCTCCATACGTATTTCCTTCCGAACTTACATATGTATTCCTTTTTTAATTCTGTATTTGGTCATAATAGCGGAAAAGAACTGCGTAACAAACAGGGTATGAAAAGTAGTGGGCGAAAATAAAAACCAAGTTATTGCTTGCTGTGTATATAAGCGGTGGATATGTGCGCTAAATAATACATAGTGCATATGTATAAGTAAATAGTGCATACATATGTATATAAATGTTTTATATTTTGTATGAAAATTTGCACGAATTGAACAACTTTTGACTGTATTGTATACTTATGGCTAAGTTAATACGAATAAACGAAAACTAAAAATTTTTGCATTTATGAAATGGGTTGGAGTTTAAACAGTGATTGGTTGTTCATATGCATGTTAGTTAGTTGGTGGGCGACCGGTAGGTCTATTGTGCCCCTAGCTCATCACAACCAGCCCCAGGGTGTCTATAAACTTCATAATATACCCCGGGAACAGTGAGTATATGTGCTCATCTCTTGGTCAGACGTGCCCTATGCTCCTATACCTCCTGCGCGCAACGGCCTCACACTCCATAAGAAGGTGTAGGGGAGTTTCCCTGGCCGCATCGCAGAAGCGACACAGGTCGCTGGACCAGATACCTAGTTTGTACAAGTGCCCTCTGGGCCTACAGTGGCCAGTCAAAAATCTTGTAATAACTCTCAGTTTATCCTTTGAAAGATTCATGAGTAGCCTGCATCTTATCAGATTTTAACCTCCTAATATGCTTTTAGCCGGACGTTGACCCATAGTACCACGCCAGTGCAGTTCCCTCAGTTTGCAATTGTCCCTTCTGAGCATATCCTTTATGGTACTGGATCTCACTGCCAGAAAGGGCTCAGGTCCTATCGGGGTCGAGGAAGCGGCTATTCTGGCCAGATGATCAGCCTCCTCATTTCCTGCAACCCTCATGTGCCCAGGTGCCCAGATTAGTTGGATATCATTAACCTCCGCCAGAGCATTAAGCCTCTCGACACACTCCAAAACCAAGGAGGACTTTATCTCGAATGATGAGAGAGCCATAAGTGCCGCCTGACTATCACTTAGTATAAGGATCTTTTCATTCCTATAGTTCCGGCTAATGTTAATCTCTGCCCACATACTTATGGCATAGACCTCCGCTTGAAAGATGCTTGGGAAGGTTCCCAGGGGCACCGAAAGCTTCAGCTTAGGGCCGTACACGCCTGCTCCAATCCCCGCAGGTGTTTTAGAGCCGTCAGTGTATTGTGCTCGCCCGTATGTGCCTTTCCATAACAGAGGTACACCAGGTCGCCTTGCTGTAAGTGTAGGTCCTTAAATTCCTTTTGAAGACAACCTGTCTGTTGATATCGTTCCTGGGGATCAAAGCCAGGGGAAGCTGGGTACCTATCTTGTCCTTGTTCCTAGATAACACCTTGCCTTTGCCGAAGCCCTCCCTCGCAAAGTTAAGGAGGGTTCGCTTTGCAACCTGTTCAACTGAGAGATGCAGTGGCTTGAGTTCCAGCATTACCTTCAGCGCAGCCGTCGGGCATGTGGGCATTGCTCCCGTAATGCAAACACATGCCAGACGTTGAAGCTTAGAGAGGGTCTGCCTCACCGTTGCCATAGTAGTTCTGGGATACCAAGCCACCGCACCGTAAGTCACTATCATGGTGTCCAACTGAGGATCCTCGGAGTGCACCGCAGGATTTACCCGCTAGACGTTTGCACACCATCATCGCTTTAGTGGGCTTAGAGGTGACCGCATCAACCATCCAAGGTCAAGTTCCTCATACCCTAAAGATTTCGTATCTTGGTGAAAGGGACTATAGCTGTCTTAGAGGGGTTAATATTTAAGCCTACGTCTGCGCACCACCTTTTTGCCAGGTTAAGACCTCTTTGGACGATGTCACGGAGAGTACTAGCGAAGTTCCCTCTAGCGATAATCACTATGTCGTCCGCGTACCCTTGGCAAAGGACGCCCCAGTTAGTGAATACCTGTAGGAGTTTGTCTACAACTAAGCTCCACAGTAGAGGAGATAATACTCCCCCTTGCAGGCACCCTTTTGTCGTTTGTAGTAGAACGACGCTGTCACCGACTTCATTTTCGGCGATCCTGGTCTGCAGTAACCTTGCTATCCATCGCCGGATGGTTAGCTGAACGTTATCTTTCTCAAGAGTTCTGTCGGCTCCCAAATGGGAGGCGTTATCAAAGGCCTCCTCGATATCGAGGAAGGCACAGAGCACCACCTCATCACACTCAAAGGCCCCTTGTATTTCCTCCGTTAAGGCATACAGCGCAGTGTCCGTGGATCTACCCACCCTGCACGCGTGCTGGTTGGAAAGCAGAGGGGTTTATTTCAAAGTGTTAAACCTGATTTCATGGCCAATAATTTTCTCCATTGCCTTTAACATAAAGGATGTGAGACTTAGCGGCATGAATGATTTGACAAGAGAGTAATCTCTCTTATCTTCCTTCGGGATAAAGATGACCCTTGCCCTCTGCCACACCTTGGGAATGTGGGACAATGCTAGACTGTCCCTCAAAATAGCCACAAGATCTGGAAGTAAGAGCTCCCCGCCCTGCTTCAGCAACACCGGACATATACCATCCACCCCAGGGGCCTTGTACCGTTCGAAGGAGTCCAAAGCCCACCGCACTGTTTGCCGGGTTATAAGGCTTTTAGCCAGCTTCCAGTCCGGTGGGGATGGCCTGAACGCACGGAAAATCGCTTCCCCGGCGGTGGCAATGGCGTCCGGAAAGTGGGCCTAGAGCAGGGCAAGTGCCATTTCCTGTTCAGTACCTGAAAATGTCCCCTTAGGTAGCCTAATAGCCAATCTGGCGCCTGTGTTGTCCCTTGCCAAAGCTTTATGAAGCCTAGCAGCTGCAGGAGTGGACGCGATGTTCTCACAAAAGGTCCTGAAGCTGCTACGCTTGGCTTTTCTAATCTCCTTTTGGTACTTTGTCAGACTGACTGAGTATTCCTCCCAGTTCCCGGTGCGCTTTGCCCTATTTAAAAGTCTGCGCACCTCCTTCCTAAGAACCGAGAGTTCCCGTGACCACGAGGGAGGCTGAGCCTTCCCCTTAGGCTTTGACACGGGACAGCTGGACGTAAAGGCATCTAAAATAGTGCCGTTCAGCCTATTAACCCTCCCCTCTAGCGCCATACAATCCACCTTTCTTTGCTGTACCTCCATCCTGGGTAGGTTCAGTCTAAGTACCTCTTCATATTTGGCCCAGTCTGTTTTCCTGGGGTTTTTCTTGGGGTAACCTGTCTGACAAACAGCTCCCAGTGCAAACCGGATAATCCTGTGATCCGACAGTGAGGGCTCAGATGAGACCTTCCATTGAACGATCAGAGGAAGAGGACCGGCAACCGTTTTCACCACCTGGACGAAGGAGGTCAGACTGCCACTGGGTATTCACGTCGATGACGTAACAATTCCGACGGTGAATAACCCGAAAATCCTCGGAGTTACCTTCGACAGTCTGCTCTCCTTCTCGGCGCATACAACCGCAATTGTCAACAAAGTACAGAGCTGCAACAATGTCCTCAAGTCGCTGGCCGGCAGCACTTGGGGCAAAGATAAAGAAACGTTGTTGGCAACATACAAGGCAATTGGCCGGCCGGTTCTGAACTACGCAGCGCCCGTATGGTCGCCGGGGACTAGCAGGACGCAGTAGATGAAGCTGCAGACCTGCCAAAACACGGCATTACGAACCGCGACAGGATGCCTCCTGATGACGCCTTTACATCACCTTCACGACGAGGCCCAGATGATCCCGGTAAAGGAGCATAACTTAATGCTTTGCAAGCAGTTCCTCGCTGGGAGCTACAGACGTGGCCATCCCAGCTGGCAACTGCTCGCGGAAGAGCCCTCGCCACGGCACGTCAGGAGGCATCTTTACGAACTGACAGACGAAGTCCAGAGGTATATTAAACAACCTCTGGACCTGACAACCTGTGAATGCCGTTCTAGGCACACAACCACCGGACGTGGACGGGACAGAACTTTGTCTGCCTCGGGAGACCCGCACAACAATAGCCCAACTTCGCTCTGGCTATTGCAGCAGGCTCAACAGCGACCTGAGTAGAATCAACGAGGATGTGCCCAACCAATGCCCGGCATGTGGAGAGTCGCCACATGACTCCCGGCACCTCTTCACATGGCCTGAGAATCCCACTCAGCTAACGCCCCTGTCCCTATGGACAGCCCCTGTGGAAGTCGCACACTTCCTGGGCCTCCCCTTAGCTGAAATAGATGACAACGATGATGGATGAACCGTCCCGAACGGGGCTTAGTAGCCGCTACAACAACAACAACAACAAGAGGACTGGCCAGTCTGTTGCTGAGAGTGATGTCAAGAACTTCCTCTCTGACCCTAGTAATGAACGTTGGTTGTGAATGCTGAGGTCTTCGCTAATAATATATTCTACTAGTGAACCCGCATGACGTTAACACGCCAAATTTGAGTTTAATGTTTTAAACAGATGGCAACACTATTCACAAACCTTAATACATATTGCAAATATTTCAAGTAAATTCGTTCATCCCTTTTTGAACGAAGAGAGGTCTCAAATGGTCGGTTTTTCATTTCCTCAAAATTCAAACCACCGTGCACTATTTTTGTAACTTCAAAAAATAAAACCTTAATGCACATTTAGAATGGCGGTGCTGATCTGATGACCTTCACATTAACAAAAAAATTATTTACTTATAAAATTTAACTCAAACTAATTATTTCGGTATATTATGGGTTTATTCGAAAAAAACATATATTCCCATTAGTTATGGAACCTGAACTCATCATGTGACTGTCTTCGCAGTAGCGAATCCTGTAAACCGAGTTCTCCAAGACCTTGTTGATGGTTTCTGGCTCTATCGTAAGAAATGCCCGCCATACGCCTAAAAGGCCTGAGTCGTAAATAGATCATTCGCATTATATTGGTCCTTCACGGCATGGCACAAAAAAGTCGAAGGGCGTAAAATCGAGGCTCCGAGGGGGCCAATTAACTTCATCGAGACAGCTGATAACACAATTACCGAACTTTATCGCTCAAAATAAAAATCGAATAGAGGGCAACCCTAACAAAAAATATTTTCAAACAAAAGTTTTATTAAAACTCTTTCTTTTGCCACTCATATTTTGATATTTCATTAAAATGGTCCAAAAGCTAAATAAATTAGGCTTTTCAAATAGGTGGCAACCTTCTGCGAAGCATTTTCAAACAGAAATCTTTTAAAGCTCTTTCGTCTGATACTTTGATACATAATTCAATTACATGAAGAATTAAATTGAATTTACTTTTTTTTTTGCTGGAGTGTTGTCTGCTCTCCGAGCGACGTC